GGAAGTATGAAAAGCTTTATAACCAGAATGTCCTGCAGCTTCCAGAAGCATCATTAGAAATTCAAAGATGACAATGACAAGAAGATTGTAATGATTAACTTACTATACACAAGCTTATCCACGACCTGCCTACACTGATCTTCTCAGAGTCATGTTTTCAAGTAATGATAGTATATTTCTCTAATGCTCAGGCTGATTCTTGTCTACCCTAGATTAATTTGGCTTTTGAACTGAAAACCTGACAAATTTATTCATGTTATCTATTATTTTAAACAGTACATGCATCTCTAAGTGTGTGCTTTTGTGTGGTAGACAAGGAAACTCAGTCTTTGGAAACACGTGACAGGCAAACTGAGGACGGCAGAAAAGCCGGCGTTTTTGCAAGACTTTCCCTGCAGAGACGGGAGTTGCGAGTGGAGATGTATCACAGCCTGCAGCACATGAGAGCGCAGAGAGCACAGCTTCAGAGCAGCCTGAGAGAGACCAGTGAGAATAACAAAGAAGTCCAACAAAATGAAAATGAGGTTAGCTGTACAGATTATTTTAAACAACAATAAAAAAAAAAAAGAGATGAACTTATTAAAATTGTTTTTGTGTGAGCATTTTGCCTTGTTGGTCCAAATACATGATGGGGCAAAATGAGCAATACCAAGGAAAAATAGTTAATAATTAGAAAAAAAATCAACTTTAAAAAGAAACAATAGAGTTTTTTCACAGTTTTACAAAATGGTAAAAACATCCATACGCCTAACTTTTTCTCACTTTCATATTTATCTTTGCTTAACGAAAGTTTAAATATGAGTCAGCTTTATAATCTTCACATAAAAGCAGTTTGACCTTTATCTTATAAAACCTTAATGTATTTAAACTAATCAGAAAATGGAGGAATAATATAATAATGTGATCACCTGAAAACTGTTTTATCATTAAGAGAAATATCAGATTTGAACAATATATGACAAATAAGGGGGGGGGGGTTTGTTTGTTTGTTTTTGTTTGTTTTTACAGGAGCAAAGTGCTGGAGTTTCAACTGTATATAAACTGTATAAGTTAGAGGACACAAATGAACAGGTAAAACATTGTTCTTGTTCCCCTGAAATAGTCATTTGGACAGTGCGTTTAGTTTAGTTTAGTTTAGTTTAGTTTAGGAAACTTCAGGTATTAAACTTCTTACAGTGTTTTAGGGTCTACCTTTGTCGTGTCTTCATCAATCTCCTTTTTTGTCCCTTGTGCCCCTTCCTTTCCTCTTTTCCTTCCTTCTTCTCCCTCCCTCACCTTCTCACTGTAGCTGTGTTGCAGTAGTTGGCTGGAGGAGGAAGAGGAGCATGTTCTTCAGAAGAGAGCAGAGCTGAATGAGCTGGAGGAGGAGCTGAAGAGGAGAAAGGAGGTTCTTATTCACAGGGAGGCGTGTGTGCGACAGAAAAGCAAATTAGAGACCAAGAAGCTGTGCTCCAGTCAGGTCAGACTGTGTTTGCTATGGTTTAATTTAAATACTATCACAAGTCACTTTATTAATTACAGTAAAAGATTAGGTGGACACATATAAATGGTAGAATTAGGAGGTTTATTATCAATTTGTTTTTCAGGCTCTGAGTCAGGACCTGCTGCACGTGTCGATGCAGTTGGAGTCGCTGGAGAAGCAGCTACAGAGGAGGAAGGCAGGAGTTACCATGAAGGAACTGGAGAAAGAGAGAGACTTGCTTAAAGAGAGAAGAGACGCTCTGGACGCCCAGCTGAATGACAACCAAGTGCTCACTGTGGAGGTCAGAACAAAGGGAGTGTTGTGTGTATGGTGTAAATTTGACCACGATGTATTTCTGGTACATGTTTAGGTGAAGTGATGTGTGTGTGTCGTCATGTAGGAGACGCATTCCCTTCTCCAGGTGGAAGAAGCTATCGAAGCTCTGGATGCAGCACTTGAGTTTAAAAACCGCTCGATCCAGGACAAACAGAAGAAGCTGTCGGCCACAAACTTTTCTTTGCATCAGTCACAAAACGCTGAACCCGCCCAACTCTGTTATGTCACCAGAAAACTTATGGGCCTGTCGCTGCCTGAGGCACTGGAGCTGCTTGTGAAATATTTCAACAAGGTAACGTAAAATACTTGCATACATATGTATATACGGAATATTCTGCTTTACATATAATCCATATACATTCTCCTTTCTAGTTCTATATCTTGTTCCGTCTTCAAATCCTCTATTAATTCTCTTCCTTTTCTTTCCCATCATCTCAGAGTTTGATAAAAACTTGTTAATTTACCTGTAAAAAGTGATTTTATGGTGCTCATACGGAATCTGAAAGCTCTCTTTTTCTCCTTCTGTTTCATCCATCCATCTTCATCCGCTTTATCCAAGGCCGGGTCACGGGGTCAGCAGCCTAAGCAGAGAGGCCCAGACCTCCCTCTCCCCAGCCACCTCCTCCAGCTTATCCGGGGGAACTCCAAGGCGTTCCCAGGACAGCCGAGAGATATAATCTCTCCAGCGTGTCCTGGGTCTGCCCCGGGGCCTCCTCCCGGTGGGACATGCCCGGAACACCTCACTCTAATAAGTTTACTCACCTCTTTTTCTCTTCACATGTGGTTCAGTGGTGTACCACTATTGCACCACTACTGCCCACTTCTGCCAAGTGCTTTCTCATAGTAGGTTGTGTGATTGTTGCCATTTTCCCTCTGACATTGTTGTGTATTGTAGCGTAGTGTCCCTAAAATATAAAGAGATCAAAAGGAGGCAATTAGGGTGGTTCGAGTGTCTGACTAGGATGCCTCCTGCGTGCCTCTAAGGTAAGGTGTTTTTGGGCATGTCCTACTGGGAGGAGGGCAGATCCAGGACATGCTGGAGAAATTACATCTCTCACCTTGCTTGGGAATGCACTGGAGAGAGAAGTTTGGAAGCTTGCTGCCCCTGCACTTTATCAGAAAGTTTATTATCCTTTTAGGTTGTTTGTCTTCGAGAGACAGAGCGCCATCTACATTTGCACTGTGAAGAGCTGGAACTTCAGGCAGAAGAGCAAAAGATGTTGTTGAGAGAGATGGAGGCTGCTATGCAGCGTCTGGCCTTGGATACAGATCGCAGGCTCACCCAGCAACACAGAGATCACCAGTACAACATCCAGCTGCTGCTGCAGAAACTTAAAGGTGAGGAAATTTGTGGAGCCTGGATTTGAACTTGAATTTGTTTTATGACACTTGGTTTCACAGTATGTCTGCATATGTGTTCAGAGGGTGCTCCAGGAGAGGCAGAACAGGCAACACAAGACAGACTGCAGCATCTGGAGAAAGAGCTTTGCTTCTACAAAAGCACCAGCCGGCAGCTCAAAAAGAAACTCAGAGTGATCTTCAGCGATTCATTGCAGCCTAATGATCAGCCTTCTTGCCCACAGGAGCACAAACCTATGCAAAAGATGCAGATTTCTTCAAATGAAGCCCAAACTCATCCTGAGGAGGTTCAAACACGGACGCATATTGTAACAACATACCAAAAAATAAATGCAGAGAAAATGGACAAAAAGATACACAATGATTTCTGTATGAACAGAAATGAAAACCAAACCAAGTGCCCTTCTTCTTCTTCTAACCGCCAAACCCTCAAAAAGACAAAAATGCCAGAATACACCCAAATGCTCACACCGTCCCTGGGGAGGAGAGTAGGAGATGAGTCTAGGGAAGGTTTGGAGATGACACCAGTCCGTTTGTGTCGCAGGGATCTGAAGCAAATCACTCCAGCTGACCTGCAGCTCTCTGGTTCTACCACTGGGAGGCGACCGTCTGCTGTGGGTATGAGCACTGAGTCAATCCTGGAGGACTCTATAGAAGTCCTCAGAAACACTGACAGGTGATGTATTTATGTAGATGTCAGGAACAGTAGTAGATACCAGGAAGTAAACAAAGCTGTTTGATGTTGTAAGGCACTCAATGCAATGACTTAATGGGGTTTTAGAGTTCAGGCCAGAAGAACTTAAATTTCTTGTAACAATAATTATTTTTGTTTTGCTTTTTTTCCCCTGTTTTATTTCACCTTTCTACAACAGCACCATCATAAAAAATAAGAACTGCAAACTGTTGACCTGGAGAGATGATGCAGTAAAATCTCATTACTCTTTGCTCAGTCCTTTTATTTGTCTTCCAGTATGGTTAGAAATTTTTATCCTACACGTTTTTGTTCTTCCCACATATTTTTTGGGGCGGTTCTAAACCTTTCAAGTTTTCAAATGTCTTAAATCATAAATGTGCCATAAATATGTTGGCTCTTTTCTTGTATTTCTATATACCATCTTATACTTATCATTATCCATATCCACTACATTGATGCAAAGTCAGTCAGCAAGCTGGAACATTCTCATAAAACGTAGACAGTTTTCATTAATTAGTTAAAGCAATTTTGTTTATGGAGCACTATCTTTAATCCTTCATTGTGAATGCTTAAGGTTTAATATGCTGCACTGTTGCAGGATTATAAAGCTTTTTGATGACAACTTTGTGTGGACTTTATGTATGTAGTTTTATGTTGATTGCTGTGTAAATTATTATTATTTTTATATTGGTTTACTCTTTTCACAATCTAATTTATTAAACACACTAAAATGCTCACCTCACTGTATTGTCTTGATTATCTGGGCTTATTCAAACCTAATTTTGGTGTGAGGGTGCTGTGATCTTTCTCTTCTTGTACATTTTATACACTAGTAATTAAAAAAAACTTGCAAATGCGGTCACTATTTTTTAACATGCAATAAAACCAACATACTTGACAATGAAATTTATAAATTAAAAGCATTAGAATTAAGGGGCAATTACTTTTGCAGGTAGGTTTGGATAGTTCTTTTCTTAATAAATGAAATCAACCTTTAAATTTACATTTTATATTTACTTGGGTTATCTTTGTCTTATATTTCAATTTGTTTTACGCCAATGCGTATTTCCGTTCGGTTGTCATGGTGATATGATAGTTGTTGTAATATGACGAACACGGTAGGTCGTGATTGGACATCCGACAACTAAGGTGTAACCATGACAACAGGCTAAACTAGCTAGTTATTGTGCGATAATCGCTTAGTATTGTGCAGTTGGCCTTAAAAAGCGATTCGGTCAACAAACTGCGCACATGCTGCACACAATAACCGATATATCTGCACATATCGTAAACACTTCTTTTTCTGCATCCGCATCGCAGAGGATAAGGGAATCCCAGCCTTTTTCCTTTTTGACACCGCCGGGCTTCTGTACTCTTTTGAGACAATCGCTGGTAGCAAACCAACCCTAACCCTCAGCCCCTTTGCGAACAGGTGAAAGTATCCTCAGACAGTTTTCATGTGAGTAATCCTTCTTTAACACAAGTCAGTGAGCGCATTGAAAAAAGGAGATCAACGTGAGTCCACGCGTGTGCTTTTAACTGACATGGAGCGGCACTTTTGCACTTGTTTAGGAGCTAACAACACTGGCTAAGCCTTAGCTGTTACGCTGCTGCTATGCGATGCTAATCTAGCTGTGTCCACTAACTGTTTGTAACGGAGCTCTTTAAATGGTTTACATTTATCTGTAATACTGTCTGTTGTCATAAGATCACAGTGCTGACTCCGTGTGTAGCTTTGTATGGAGGTGTTGGCTGAAATACTGTGGTACTAAAAAAAACCCAACAACAAACAGGTTGTGAATATGCGCTAACTCGTCATTTTATGATCTGCTCTAAGTTATTCTGAATAAACTGTTGTACATTTATCTGCTTTCATCGTTCAGTTTGCCTTCTCACGATGGCATCGTCTGCAATGATCACAGTCCCCACCACAGCATCCCGCTTTGCCCTGCTACAGATAGATTCAGATTCGGATTCGGACACCTCCGAGTCGGGGAAGGCTACCACCAAAACTGGACGGGACTCCTCTGGGAAGCCCCGACAAGGAAAAGCAGGTGCAGCCGGAGGGAAAGCTGCTCAGGGCAATGACAAGAAGAAAGACAAGAAGAAGAAGAAGAAAGAGCAGCAGCAGAGTGAGGCAAATGAGGTGAATGAGTGAGATGAACAGCCTGCAGCTCTCTGCCTCTTACATATGTGTTATTTTGCAGTGACATGAAGAAAGATCAGGCTCTTCAGTCGTTTCACTTCTCCTGAAGCGAAACTGCAGAGGGCAGGGAGAGGTAAACAGGTTGTGGTTTGCTTTTGGTGTGCTTGCTACTAATGAAGTGAAACAAATGCTGTTCAGATGATAAGTGTGTAAGTTGTATTTCGTTGAGGTCATTAAAATTTTATATTGTAAAGTGCAATATTACAGAGAAAACCTCAAGATTCAGACAAACCCCTATGATTTTTAACATCATTTGGTGATGGTTGTGAAACTAGTCTCTGGTTATCAGCGCTGAACTTATCTAAAGCTATTACATTGCAGAAGCCTACATACCAAGTCCTCATAAATGAGCATGCAGGTATGCTTTCTGCCTTCTTGGTGATACTGATATCTGGCCAGATTTTTATTCAAAGCTGCCAGTGTGATAGCTTTCATCTTTAATAAATCAAATAACATAGGAGTAGACAGCATCCAGTGGATTTTGCAGGCTAAATTCTTATATGGAATTGGTCCAATCCCAGGAAAAAATACTAAATAATAAAAAATTGGTTTCAGCACAGTTAATCAGTTCAAAGTGCAAGTTTTCTGGTTTTTTGTTCTTGCATCTGACTGTAGTTAGACAGAAATTAGACTTACATAAGCAGGGAGTTAAAACATGATCTTGCCTCAGAATCTGTAATGTGAAGATTTGAAGACTGTCTCCTTGGACTCTGTAAATATTAAAAAATATATATATATTTTATTGACCGGTTCGTTAAAAAACAAAATGGGGAAAATGAAAATGTTCAGCTCTGAGAATAACAATGTTGCAGCACAATTAAAAGGAATGTGTTCAGGCCCAACACCCACTTAAACACATTAACAAATCCTCCTCCACTCCACAGACACAAACCACAGGCAGCATACATCCTGAGAAAACAGACCGTTTTTTGTTGTTGCTGCGCGCACATAGACAAGTTGATGGTTTCTACAGCTAACAATAGAATTTGTGTTTATGTCAATAATGATGACATCAGGTTGTTTTATCTTTCTCTCTATTAGTTGCGTAATCTGGCCTTCAAAAAGATTCCTCAGAAATCTTCTGCCCCTTCTCCCTGTATGACGCTGTCAGGAATAGCCGGTGAACTTCTCAATCCTACGTCGGTGGACCAGGATACACCGTCGGAGGGTTGGCAGCAGTGGAAGCAGAGAGACGAGCAGGTTTAGAAATGACAGCTACTCACATTACAGATGAGTGAGATAGTAAAACTTGTATGACTGTCCCTCATAGAGCAGCACAGGCCACACCTGACCTTACACACAGCACGAAAAGTCCCTAAAATTCAATGTTCTTCCTTTTCTTTTAGATAACCACAGAACTATATGAGGCAGACTTGGAAAAAGCCTTGATTTTAAGTAAACTGGAGTATGAACAACAGAAGCAGGTACGCTGCAGAAAAACACTAATATTCTCATTTTGAAAGCCACATTTGGGGGCACAGATGTCAGAGCTGTATGTTCACTTTTACGTAAGTCGCACATCGCTCTGACACACCTGTGACATGTTCACTTAAATTATAAGTCAGCGTATTACCTTATTCCTTCTTCATGTTGGTGATTAAAGGATCTTGTTTTAAATGACTCTGCCTGAGTTTCTGTGGGTTAAAAACAAAACAGAATTTATTTCTGGTATGCAAAGCAAGAACTTGAGCTAACTGAAGTCAAAGCATCTGCTTTCATTCATCAGAGCAACACAAACACGTCCTCGCCAAAGTCACGGTCAGGAAAAGAAGGTGGAGGCAAGAAGGACAAAAAGAAGAATCAGCAGGCAAAAGACAAAAAGACAGTTTCTCTGCAAGACTTCCAGGCTGAAAGCAGTGCAGGTGAGACCAGCTTACAGATTACTTTAAAGTCTTATATATGGACCTCATATATATGATTTACTACATTGCATATATTGTTATTTTCTTGTAACTAGTTATTGCATTGTGTTTTCTCTTTGCAGAAAATTTAAGTAGAAAACAAGAGAAAGAGGTGAGCCGGTTCCACTCTGTTTACTTTATATTTTATAGATTGCACAGAAATGTGAATGAACAAGTGAGGGACGAATTAAAGATAAAATTAATTTTTTAATATTTTGTTTGTAACTTAAAAAAATGTGTAAAACATCAACCAAATTACCTTCCAGGACTCCAGAACGGCTAATTTAGCACTGGGAGTCGGGCAGGACGAACGTTTTTTTAATAAGTTGGAAGATGATGTCAGTCGGATAATCCAACGGGAGAAAAGACGCGAGCAGTATACGAACAGCCAGGGACAAGAAGTCAGCACGTCAACAGAACACGAACCAGTGAGTGGACACAAGTACCACAAAATACTCGCGTAGCTCTCTCATTAACTCGGGTATGAAAGTGAACAAAGTTAGCTTTTCCTTTGAGTTTTGGTTAGTGATTAACTGCCTCAAGGTACATCTGAAAAGCTGTTTGTGAAACTGCATACATGCACCATTACCAAAGTGAAGTTTCTTTTTCTTTACTTGCTGATTTTATTTCATGTTTTTCTTCCTGTTAGGACCCCAGAGCGGAGCAGCTGAAGTATGAGCTGGAGAAGAAAGATCAGGAAATTGATAAGCTGAAAAAAAACATTTCACAGTGGGAGGTCAGCACCCATAAACAGTTATCTGATCTAATCATCTTTCAGTTTCAGAAGGACAGTGATTTTCTTTGTCTTTTCCTGTATGATGAGTCACAAAAAGGAAATTTGATTTTCACAGCTGTAGAAACGGTGAAGTTAATCAGAAAAATCTCTGCCATGTTTAAAGCCAAACAGGTTGGGTTTAGTGTTGGTTTGTCATCATCATTAAGATGTTCTTACTCAACTCACGTAGGCTGTGGGCTGCTATGGCACTGTTAGTTAGTGTGGACTTCTTCTGTAAAAAAAAAAAAGTCTACATATTTAATTTTCAACTGCATATTTTTATCACTGGACTCTACTAGAGTAGCTTTGGATGATTCATAATTCAAAAATACAATTTTTCTCATTCTTGCCTTTGTTCAGCCCTCTTTGACTGTGTGAAACAAGCAGTTTTAGTTCCTCTCCCTGCGAGCCACTTTCCGCTGATTTGCTGCCCTTTAAACAGCACAGAGCCAAAGCTGTGAGTCTGAGATAACCACGTTAGTGCATCCACTCTCAGTAACACCATATAGAGACAAGAGTTGAAAATGTCAGAACGTGAGCATGTTGATCAGTCTGAAGCTTTTGGCTTATTTCACTCGTCGTTGAAACTATATGCATGATTAATATGAGCGTTCCCCACTGTAACACTGTGACAGAAAAAAGGAAAGGTGACCACACCTGCAGCCAACACTGTTGTGTCCAGTGCTACAAAAAGAATCTTTCTTTTTGTCTCTGCAGGTAAAATACAAAGAGGTGAAAGCAAGAAATGCTCAGCTGCTGAAGATGCTGCAGCAGGGAGAGAGTGAGTTTGATAACACAGTAGATACAGTTTGGTCCAAAAGTATTTGAACAATGACACTTTTTTGTTGTTGTTGTAATTTTTTCTTCTGTACAACAAGACAACACTTCTGGATTTTAAATCAAACAATCGAGATGTGGGTGAGGTGCAGACTTCTGCATTAAATGATTCTGAATTATCGATATATTTATGCACAGTCCTCCATTTTCAGTGGTTCAAAAGTAATGGCAGAATTGACTGACTAGCATTTTCATAGACGGCTAAGGCCGTCTTATTTCATGACAAATGAAGTAGATGAAAGCTGCTGTTCTAAGTGAACTTGCATTTCTTAACTTTTCCCTCCAACTCCTAATAAGAGATCCAAAGAGAAGTCATTGTAAGTAAGAGTGACCTGCAAACAAAGGTAGGATTGACTGAATATAGAGGAATATGTATGTTGTTGTCTGCAATTGCTAAACAACGAATGTAATGTGTTTGCCTGCGATTGAGTCACATCTCAATTGTCTTGATTTAAAACCCACTGTGGGGGAGAATCATTGTCCAAAAAGTGGTTGTTTTGACTATCCTTTCCTTTCCTGATGAAGATCTCGTGTGTGATGTTTCTGTTCTCTCTCTTTTTCAGTGAAAGACAAAGCAGAAATTCTTCTACAGGTAGAGGAGCTACTGCATATTAAAGAAGAGCTGTCTTCACAGGTCTGTAACTCTGTAACTGTGTGTGTGTGTGTGTGTGTGTGTGTGTGTGAGTGTTGGGGGGGATTCTAAATTTGTAAATCTGTGTTTTTCATTTTAATTAGGTAACATTATTGCACGCTGCCCTCGAACAAGAGAGATCTAAAGTAAAAGGACTGCAGTCAGAACAACCAAAGCACCAGGTGAGAGTACAAATACTCTTCTGTGTGGTATCTTCATTGTAGGAGAGAAGAACTGGTGTTAAAGTGTTGTCTCCATCTTCATTTACGCTGAACTGACTGCATACTAGTTTATGATCATGCATGCACCTCATTGCTTTCGTGGATTTCTGTAGAAACTGTGGAAACCTAACAGAAAAACTTCAGCCTGTAAGGCAGGTAAAGTCAGAAAGTGTCAGCGTAAGTAAGCCAAAGGACAGAAACATAAAGAGTTTACTCGGCCCAGTCAGGGGAGCAGTGAGCTTAGATTCAGGTCAGAGCATTTGAACACTTTTTCTTTATTTTTAAGTCAATATGGTTTCTTTTTTTTTCTTTTTTCCCCAGTTGATAAAGACTGTGTTTGCCTCATTTATGTTCTGTTTCTACATCCATCTTTTGACTTGAATTAATAAAAGCACACAAACAGATCTGATATCCATAAATAATTGTGTCCTTTCTGCAATTTTCTGTTTCACAGGGAAACAAGAAAGGGAAGAAGGGCTCAGAGGCAGATCTATGAAGGTTTCAGAAGGAAAATGCCTGAAAACAAAATGAAATAAACAAATGAAGAAACCCCTGAAGAATATTCCCACTATTGATCAAAATCAGGGTTTTTTTTTTTGTTGTTGTTGTTGTTGTTAAATCTTAGACTCCTGGTCAGTCTGTTTTGCATGCCCTCCCTAAACACACACACACACACACACACACACACACACACACACACACACAAACAGAAAAAGCTAGATTTGGTACGATATGTTACACAATTAAATAAGATTTACAAGAGGCTTTCTGAAATAGCGACAAACGTTCTAAGCTTGTGTTAAAGTAGCTGCTTGGCACATCGTGCTGCCCTCTTCAGGCCTCAGAGTGCCTCTGGATCTCCTGTACTGTTGAAGGCTCTGTGCCTGATCTTTAAAGGTTTTATTGCCAAAATGACAGGTGTGTAATGCAAAGTTGTTTTGTTTCTTTATTTTCCCACTGTTAAGTAAATAAATTACTTTTTCAGTGAAAATGTGGTTTTACTTTTTGTGTGTGAAAGCATCGAAGAGCCTAAGAGGAATTTTTAAAAAAAGTGTAAAAGTGCCTCAAACAAGCCAAAAAAAAAATTGTATTTGAGTCATTAGATGTTAACATGAGCCAGATGAAAATAAGATACTTTAAATCTGCTTGGGTCAAATCTCAAAAGGAAGAAGGATTTAAAAATTTTTTAGACTATTGTCATCAATTACCACTTATCACATGTGCGTCACCTTTGGAGGCTGTTAAAATTATAATGATTCATTATTGTTGCTGGAATGAGAGTTTAAAAGTGAACTGAGAGCATCTAGGATTTGAACTGCTGTCTGATTTTTATGGTGCACTATATCTTTAAGTTAAGTCTGGTTACATAACTGGCTTATTATTAAGTATTTTATTTTTGTTAGTCGAAGTGCACTCAAAAACTGTTATAACAGGCAGCAGGGGCATCAGATCTGTGCATAGTAGCAGCTAGGTGTGGGCTTTGCGTGTCCACCTCAGTGACCGGTGTGGCCTCAGCTGGCACACATCCGCACAACTTATTGCCGAGTCATCGGGACAGACACGCAGCCCGCGTCGGGACGGTGTGCTCCTGCTCTGCACCGTGTTTAAAGGCCCGCGGGCCGGACAAGTGATGTCGGCAGCAGTGAAAGACGAAACTACAACACCGAGACACCGCCGCAGGGCTGAAAGGATCCACGTTACCGTCACAAGTGTCACGGAGAGCAGAGACTTCATCGTTAGAGGAGACTGCACCGTCAGACAGGTCAGGGAAGCACAATCAGCCAGCTGGCCTCAGAGCCTTGTAATAACAGGCTGACAACGTCACTGAGACTTTTATTTTCATGCCATAATAGACTGAAATTAATGTTTTTGTTAATTTACGTGGCTAAAGAACTAAGGGGGCGGATCACTAAAGGTACTAATGTGGTATATAAATTGGAATTGGACTCATGTGCAGCCCAGAGTGCTAATACAGATTTATTATGTGAAAAGTGACTCTGCACGTTTGAAGATTGTTTTGAATGGAATAACTGTGTGAAAAAAGGCAAAAAAGGAGTATTTTTTAAAGTATTTAGCACGAAGTTGAGTACTAGCTAAAGAGTGGCCCTGAATCCAGTAACAAAATATAATTCAAAGGCCACTTCATTAGTTACATCTGGACGCCCTTTAAGTTTGTGGTATAGATTCAACAAGGTGCTGGAAGCAGTTATCAGCATCTTCACATGACATGAGAGCATCACACAGTTGTTGGTGTACATCACAGGGGGTGGCTGTAGCTCAGGAGCTAGAGCACGCCATCTACTAATCAGAAGGTCGGTTCAGTCCCTTTATATCTGCGTGCTAAATATCCTGGAGATACTAACCCCAAGTTGGTTTCTGATGCATCTATCAGAGTGTAAATGTGCGTGCGTATGTTTGATAGAAACCAATGAAGTACAGTGCTGCTGTATGAATGGACGAATGAGGCATGTTGTACACAGGAACCAGTCCATTTATCATTTACATCCATGTTTGACATCCCAAAGGTGCTCCACTAGATTGAGGTCTGGTGACTGTGGAAGTCATTTGAGTACAGTGAACTCATTGTCATGTTCAGGACACCAGTGTAAGAGGATTTGAGTTTTGTGGCATGGCTCCTTATTGTGCTGTAAACAGCCATCAGAAGATGGATAAAGGGTCTCCTTGGGTCACAGTGACCACCAACTGTACTCCGGTAGGCTGTGGTGTTTACGTGAAGCTTAGTTGTACTAAGGTACCCAAAGTGTGCCAGTGAAATATCCTCCAAACCATTACTACACCACCACTGGCGAAACCTCTGATACAAGACAGGATGAATCAATAATTTCCTGTTCTTTACCCCAAATTCTGACTGTGTACCATTTGAATTTCACAGCAGAAACTGAGACTCTTCAGACCAGGCAATGTTTTCCCAATCTCATACTGTCCAGTTTTGCTGAATCATACTTTTAGTTTCCTATTCTTAACTGACAGGACTGAAACCTGCTGTGGTCTCCTGCTGCTGTAGCCCATCTTGTTCAAAGTGTGACGTGTTGTGTGTTCAGAGACGCTCTTCTGCATGCATGGTTGTAAAGAGGGGTTATTTGAGTTGTTGCGTTCCTTTCAGCTTGAAGAAGTCTGGCCATGCTCCTCTGACGTCTGACATCAAAAAGACATTGTCACCCAGATAATGACCACTCCTTGGATATTTTCTCTTTTTCAGATCATTCTCTGTAAACCCTAGAGACAATTATGTGCTAAAATCATAGGAAATCAGCAGTTTGTAAAGTGCTCAGATCACCATGTCTTTCTCAAACAACCATCGCCAGATCACCTTTCTTTCCTATTCTGATGCTCTCAACATCAGCAGCATGTTTGAACTTCAGCAGGTCATTTTAATCATGTTTTCTACTCTAAATGTTTGACTGGCTGATTAGATATTTGTGTTTAACTAGCAGCTGAATAGTTGTACCTAATGAAGTGGCCACTGATTGTATGTTATTATATGTATATGGGTGTATTCAGTGGGTTTACTGTTGTCACACAATTCAAAATCATATATTGGATTGTAGTTACTGGTTTGTTAATGTGTATATCACTTAAATCTTTCCGCCGGAGATGATTATATTACATGTACGCTTTATTTATAGTCAAACCGCATAATGTACCATCTATGGAATGCCAGGGCTGCCAAAATGAATCAATTAAATACGCCATTAAATAATTTATTAAATGTGTCAATAATAAATTAAATACATATTTATGACATATTTAATTAATTAATTATTGACACATTGAATTAATTATTTAATGGTGTATTTAATTAATTAATTCTGGCAGTCCTGGCATTCCATAACTATGTAGATTCCTATTTTAAAATCTTCAAAATAATAATTCACTGAATTCCTAAAATAAATGGTGTGAAGTGCAGAGTACAGTATTTGCTTCCAAAAGATAGTAAATTTAAATAGAAAACACCATAACATGAATAAAGTAGAAGTACACTGGAACTGTACTTAAGTAAAGTCTTGAATAGTCATACTCTGCTACATTGAATTACTGTTTCTTTCACTGCCCTCATCTAACGGTTTTGGTGGAGAGACCCCAGGATGGAAGTTATATTGGCTGGTGCCACCCAAGGCCCCTGTCTGGATATGCCCCTGGTGTCTTTGCTGCTGATCTTTGAGCTGGTACAATGGGGGTTATCACCATTAAATACACCATTAAATAACAATGGGGGTTGTGTGTTTCTGTGTGTGCAGTTTAAATGGGGTCTGTCAGAGCACCTGGGAGCCTCAGCAGAGGAGCTGGTTCTGATCCACTCCAGTCGAGTCCTCAAAGACTCTGAACCCTTGAGTCACTTTAAAGGACTAAATGGGTCGGTACGCCTCAGCATGATCCAAAGGTATGAACAACCTGCTCTGTTTATGGCATGGGTTCATGCCGTCGCTAGTAATAAACCAACATTTGGTATTAATAAAGATAAAGAAAATAAAGATATAGGTCCAGATTTACTAAAAGGGGCAAAATTGTATGTGAGTCCAATCACCCAAATAGTGCTCATAGGCGTGGTGAGTTTATTGGGAATTTACAAAAAATTGTGCTGTTTTCTAAACACAGTGTAGTCAGTTCATTTCAATATCAAGAAAAAAAAATAAGACAGATTTTACTTTCTTTTTTAAATTACATGTCACATATGTCAGTAAATCATTGTGTGCGCTTGTGTTAAATATTGTTCCTCCTGTGTTTTGCGCCTTACTTATGCAACAGAGTCAGCTGCAGAGAGCAGGGAATATAGAAATAATACATAATATAAATATATAAAAATATATAGCCTCATGAAAAACTACATTAAAACCCAGTAAAATAAAATATTAAAATAGAGCAAATAAAATATTAAATTTATCAGAATTTAATGAGTGTCTTCCCAAAGCAAATCAAATAAATCTATGAAAAAGCCAAGAAAACTACTTATTACTTGGAAGCTTGTGGAAGGTGAGATTTTAGAGTACAGGGAGAACATTACATATAAGTCACATTTTAGGTCGTATATATAAAGCACTGGTAGTGTCTCCCACTTTGTCCCACATCAACGTACATTTTGCTCCACATTTAATTTGATAGAATCTGATCACCCCACTATCACATGAAGTATTAAACAAAATATTATGTCTGAAAAGATTCTCAGTCAGAGATCTGCACACTCTGCTCTTTAAAATTAAAATTGTAGAAGTAATTTTAAGTAATAAGTAACTTCTGCCTTCAGGTTCCTTTGATATACAGTCTATTTATACCAAACTTATGTAAAAAAAGAAAAAACAACTGGGTATCTGTCTTAGGCCTCAGCATTCATCTGCTCCACCTCCCACTGACCCAGACCTCCACCCTGAACCGGATAACATCACACCTTCCCCTACTTCTCCTCTCTGCCTGGGTAAGATGTGCAGAACACGGGAACTCTTCTCGCCTTTAACTATTTTCATAAATCTAGTTTGTGGTTCTCATTTCTCCAGACTTCTTTGTTTGAGCTTCAGCTGCTGCTCTGTACTCAGCTCCTCAGTGAACTTATAATCTGTCATTCTGTTGATTCCACCTTGTTTCTGTAGTAGAAGGTCTGGACAGCCTTGTCCTTGAAGACAGCGGGACTAGCTTCTTCCCGGAGCTCCAGTGCCAGATGGAGAACAGATTGCTGGCTGACCCAGAAATGATGCACCGTCTCCTGGGCAGCCCCTTTGTGCAGAGCACCCTCTCCACCTCTAGCCCTCAACTTATCAGAAAGCTCATTCTGTCTAATCCCCAAATTCAGCAGCTCCTGCAAACAAACCCAGAAGTGGAAGATATGCTTAACGACAAAGATGTCATAACACAGGTGGGTATAGTGGATGTCAGAGCATTGTAACATCTGTACTAACATTAGAGTAGACACTTGCAAAAATGTTGTTATTTTAACCTTTCTAATTTCACTGCAGTATGAGAACAGTTGCTTCCTCCTTGCCTGATTTCTCCCTCCGATATTTTGAGTATGTTTTTGCACTTATCTCTCTTTCCAGTTGCTGGAGCTCATCAAGAACCCTGACATGATAGAAGAAATGATGAACAATGAGGACAAAGCTTTAGAAAATTTGCAGTCAGAGCAGGAAAATCCTGAAGTCATTACTGACAATTCTGACCCAGAAGCAAAATTACAGGTGTGACTTTGAAAATGATGATTATTATAGGTCAGGTTAAACTTATCTTGTATGCTTAACCTGTTTTCTTTTGAATATCTGCTTTGCCTTTTACCAGAAGGTAGGAGCATCTGCATCGGTGACTACATCACCCGGAAATCACCACATACTGGAGGGTGAATCCAATCAGACGTTCTCTGGTCACTCGACAGATCCTCTCAGTGAACTGACTGCCACATCCAGAGCTAGGTCAAACTCTCAAAGCAGCATCACAGCAGGCATGAGCTTTATGCTTGAGGCATTCTTAGGTTATATGTTTTTAAATGTGTTAAATATTTTAAAGATATCATTGAACTGCTTTTTAAAATATTCTATTAATGGCTTCCTGCTTCAGGCATGCAGTCACTGCTAGAAGAGATCACTGCCAGTCCAGGTCTATTGGAGAGCCTGCTGTCTGGGCCATACGTCAGCAGTCTTTTAAACTGCCTTAGCCAGAACCCTGACCTGGCTGCACAGGTGATGCATGGACACTTTAATTCTTAAATGTGCAGTATTTTCACTAGGCAACTGCAGGACAACATTTCCTTCTTCCTAAACAGCAGAGATATCTTATATAGTTCATCCTGCTTTCATTTTTGCATTGTTGCAGATGCTTCTGAGCCACCCTTTGTTGGCTGGAAATCCTCAGCTGCAGCAGCAAATGAGAAAGGAGATCCCTGTCTTTCTGCAGCAGGTCTGCTTATTCCTCTAACTGTTAACCTGCTGTCTTTCAGCTGGATTAGATGTCTGCAATACATTAGGAAAACTAATAATTTTCTTGTTCCTGGACAGATGCCATGGTTTTTCATAAAATCCGTGTAGATATGATCATCTTTAGCAATGCAGGAAAACGATTCTACTCTGACTCCGTTGCTCAGTGGATATGATTAATAACTTTGTCATTATCAATAATGTGCAGATGCAGGCTCCAGAGCTGCTCTCGGCCATGTTGAACCCCAGAGCCATGGAGGCTCTGTTGCAAATCCAACAGGGCTTGCATACTCTGGCTGCAGAGGCTCCAGCTCTCATACCTGCGTGAGTAAAAACAACCTAAGGAGATCTATTGTGGTGGAAGAACTGTGTTTCAAAGACAGAGAAACCTTATCGCCAGTCTTGCCCGTCATGCAGGAATGCTCTCGGAAACACTGGAACAGGTATCGGTGCCACTTCTGAGCATCCATCTGACTCCATTCCGAACAGCCAATCAGGAAGCGGCCAACAGGCTGCTTCAGCGACAGAGCAGCAGCAGCAGCAGTTTGTACAGCAGATGCTACAGGCCCTGGCTAACACTAATAACGAGGTACTACCTTATAAACTTTTTGTCTGTCTCCAACGTTGAGTCTCAATTTAAAATATCAGTAGTAAATAGCATTTTGACAGTAAATGAGAATTTCCCTTAGGCAGGCAAATGATACACGCCTTTGATATTTAGTGATTCAGTACTTTTAAAAAACTACGCAGTATAAAGAGTGACTGACTGCTTGATATCAGCTTGCATTAACAGCTGCTGGTATGAATGTGGATAAATTAGAGTACCACACTACATCTCATGGAGCCAAATGATGTCTAATTTGTTCAGTGGTTTAAACTATTATACATTTTAACCTACTGAAGCAGGTCCAGCTGGGCCTCAGTGACTCAAATTCTAGTTAATCGTTAAAGTTTCAGAGTCAGTGCTTCTACTTGTGGATCCAACATTTACTTAGTGGGTTACAGCCCCGGTAGAGTCGCTGTTTTCTGGTGGGAAGGAAGGTGGCATTAGTCTTTCCCTTTCTTAGATACTGACGCTTTTTTCCTGCAGAACCACTAAACTCGGCTGAGTGCTGCCAGCATTCAGCTCTGGTGGTTATTGCCACAGAGCTTTTTACTGCTTACTCCAGTGTGTGAGGGAGTGTGGTTCTGACAAACTTATTGACTTATTTCTCTTTTTTGCTTTCGATTTTATTGCAGTGCTCCTTTTTTATCCCCCGCAGCAGCGACTTGGCCATCTCTTTGAGTTCAATTATTCATAAAAAAAATTTTTCATGCCGCCTCCTCTCCTTTTCCTCCCCAAAACATTTACCTTTGTTTCCCACATCGCCTGGACTTTCTTCTGATTCATATCCAGATGTTTTTGCACCTGAAGGGAGACTCATACCCAAATACCCAGAAACAAAACTGGGTGTCTGGGTTAACAAAATCACTAAATCTGGGAAGGTTTATTAATCTTTTCCAATTTGTTTAAAAGGATTCACAATTAAATCGCTAATTATGATCTCATTTTGAATTCTTTCACACATTATTTTAATAAGTAAGACTTTAAATAACTCTCGTGTCATGTTGTGTCAGGTCCATCACAGAGAGAGAGAGTTCAAGGAGGAGCTGGAGCAGCTGAGCTCAATGGGCTTCAGAGACAGGAAGGCGAACCTTCAGGCCCTCATCAGCACAGGAGGAGATCTCACCACTGCTATACAACACCTGCTTAGTCTCTGACACGTATTCATCCGTGCACATATACACTGCAAAAGATAAAAACATAAGAGAATAAAAAGCCATACTTACTTGATGCACTTTCAAAAACTAACTTATATCACACACATAATGTTAAACTCTGTTTGTTGTCCTACACTTACACTTTAAACTTCAGTCAAACAAATTAAAGGTCTGAGGATGGTGAGCGCTGTATGCATCTATGATATTGAGGCATACAGGTACATGTAAAACTGACTGAGAAGTGAGACAACAGGAGGAGGATTTTTACATCCTTATTGTCCTTGAAGTGTGAGTGTGTGGGTTAATATTAGAAACAAGAGAACACAATGCCTTTCACTGTCTTATATGCACCAGTCATGGTCTGTGTAGACTCAAAATTCCCCAAAAGTTGAGACACAATGTAAAATGTAAATAACACCAGAATACAATGATTTGCAAATCTATTAAACCCATATATTAATTTTAAAAAATGAAAAAAAAAATAAGTTCATTTCATATTTGATGGTATCATCCTTCCCAAAAAAGTTGGGTCAGGGCCATGTTTACCACTGCGTAACATCCCCCTCTTCTTTAATCAGTCTGTAAAAATCTGGGAACCGAGGAAACCAGCTGCTGGACTTCTGGGAGAGGAATGTTGTGTTTCTTTGTTGTATTTTTCACAATCCTCCAAATCTTTCCAGTTGGTGAAACATCTGAAAGGCAGGCCAGTTCAGTACCCAGACTCTTCTACTGAGTCGTGCTGTTGTAATAGATACAGTCTGCATTAGCACTGTGTTGCTGAAATAGAAAAGCTGTCATCTGGATGGAGCATACGTGTCTCTAGAACCTCTACATACCTTTCAGTGTTGATGGTGAATTTTTAGATTTGCAAACTTCCAATTCCTACACACCGATGCACTCAAGTATCATCAGTCATTATTGAACTGAACGGCGATAACAAGCCAGATAGTTTTAGACAGTTTTCAGCGTCCGTATTTTCCAGAATTTCAAAATAAAGTTTTTGTCACCACAGAAAAAATTTCCACGTTGTCCATTTTAAACGAGCTTTGAGAAAATGGCATGGATCTGGATCACTGTTTACATGCGGTTTCTTTGTTGCATTTAACCTGCATGGTGAACTGCGTTCACAGACAATAATTACTGGAAGTTTTCCTGATCACATGCAGGGATTTCCAACACAGAATCATGTCTGTTTTTAATGCAGTCCAGATTTTTTAGAATTTTTTTTTTGGATAATATTATGACAAAATATTCAAAATCTTCACATTTTTTGCATTGTGGGAAAGTATCAGAATTATTCCACAAATTGTAAACTCACTTTTTTGGTGAATCACAGGCCACTTTTACTTCTGACAAACTCTGCCTCTCGAAGATGCTCTTTTTATACTCCATCACGTTACTGACCTGTTGTAGATGAACAAAATCAGGTGTAAAATGGGCATTCAATGTTTTGTTTTTTTTACTAAAATGTACTTTTCTGGTCTTCCGTTGCCCCATCCCAACTCTTTTAAGATGTGTTGCTGCCATCAAATTCAAAATGAGCTCATATTTTTCCAGAAATAGTGTGCGTTTATGAGATTTGCGTATTATTACATTATCTACATTTTACACAACAGCCCAACTTTTTTGGAACCAGGGTTGTTATAGACTGTAGACATAAAACAATGCAAGTTTGCAGAAATATTCACATTATATTGTTATTATTATCAGAATCGGAATACTTTATTGATCCCTAGGGGAAGTTATTTAATCTCTCTGCTGCCACACTTTAAAGCTCAGGCCTCTTCATGTTGCCACCTGGACAGTCTAATGAAAGCTTTTAGCACCCTGAGACAGTCAGATGTCCTGGATGCACGCAGAAAATTTGCACTCTCATTCTCAGCCAACAGACTGAGCCAGGAGTGCAATATGTTCCGTGATGTTCCCACTCTGTCTAGCTGCTACTGCGGCTTCTGCACCACAGGCTCTAAAGACCGTAAATAATTACAAAGTTTGTCTTCGAACGTAGACTCAGTTTCAAAAGACGTTCAAAGAAAGAAGATGACTTCATGCAAAGTCCAAACCTGCTTGTAGGTCAGTGTTTATCTTGAGGTTAGACACGTACAGAAAGTGAGGTTTGCACAGCCAAGAGAAAATCACATCAGCCATGAAATACCTGATGTGATGCTCTCCCTTAAGCTTGAGCTCTATGCTGCAGTATTTTTGCACCATAAGGAGCAGGCTCATTTATCTCCTTGTGGATTTCACGAGCAAACAACAGACTGAGCAATATCCTTTAGACGACTCGTGGCTCTGTTGTAAACAGAACTATTAAATGCTGTTATTTACTTTGAATTCAATTCTGTTGTTTCTCATTTATGTAAATACGTGCTATTTGTTGCTGAATTTATGAGGCTTTGTATAAGATGCGTTTCCTCCACGCCTCTGTGTTCAAATATAATGTTCTGCAGTTGTTCTGCAGTAGGGTCAAACAGCAGCATTAGTTTAGCAGGATTTTCTGTGGCTACAAATTGTTCTTTTTGGGTAATAATGTATTAAGAATAAGTATGATTAAGTATTTAATCCACAAAATTGTAGAAATAACACTCCTCAAAGCTTTTCTTTCTAATATCTAAACTTGCACTACCCCACTAGAAACACTAGGTGGCATTTAGAGTCTTTTAGTATGGCTTGTATGAAAATCAATTTGAATCTGAGATGTAGCAAAGTAGGTCAAAGTTAACTCATTGTTATTCTCATGTTATTGCCTACAGTATTAAAATGTAAGCCAGAAATCCACATCTGCATGCTCACCTCTGCAAGATATACAAACTGGGTCAAATGTGTTATTCCACTTACTGAAACTGTACAGACCCGTGCACTGAACAACATTAAAAGATGTTCTTAAACTGAGAGCGTTCCTCTGCTTTCCATTCCTGCCTTTTGGGGGCTTACAGCTACCTGACACACGGGACACGTACTCTGTCATCAGATGGATGCGCTCTGCTTGACAACCTGCATGTGTTTGTCTGTTGCCGCCAGACTGGGGGGGGGTTAATCTCCAGCAAAGTGTGTGTGCGGCTGAATGTGTGAGATATGAGAGTAGCCGGGAGGGGGGGTTTCTGGATTAGAAGCTCCAAAAATATTCGGGTTGAGGTTTGTAGATGAGTCACAACACTAGAACAGCTCCACAAGTGCAGGTGTGAGAGAGTGTGTCTGAGTGTTTGGTCTGAACCTCACAGAGGGGAGCAGTGAAGTGTTCAGGTTAAATCTCTTTAATGATTCGACTTTGTCGGTGTGAAGATTTCAATCTCAGAAGAAACTTGTTATCCTGAAAATGATAAAGAAACATTCTCAGCAGAGAAGACACTGTGCAGAGTTTTCTAGGGCTCTAAAACAAACAAAGATGCTTATGTGACCTGACTATCTTTGGGTTTGTTGAGGACAATCATCAGGACAAATAAAGAGCTTCCATGTGTTTATTCCAACTATTAAAAAGATCAGCATCACATCATTTATGATCAAACACTCGAAACGTCCAGAAGTCCAGGGTATGTGGAGAAGTAACAAAAAATGTCCAGATTGAAAAAGAAGGCAAAATTAGTAATGAAATACGTGTGTGTTTGTTTTTTTTAGTTAAAGGATTCAACTAAAGGAGATTCGTCACATGTTATCACTATGAAAAGAAGAGAAACACAGAAAAACCTAAAAGCTGGTCACTTAACAAAAAACAATTAGCACCATCTTCCACTCCACACAAATCTATCTGGCCTTAATTAAGCACTCTGGTCTTAGCAGTACAGCAGGGCGGTACCTAAGGCAGGACACACCCCCACAGGCAGAAATCACAGCAGGCTGTAAAAACCTTTTATCTTCACCATGGCATATTCTTAAAAGATACCATCCTTAAATACGCACAAACCGGTTCAGTTTCAAAGCTTACACACATACACACAATGCATTTATTAGAATGGCACCTAAATATTTAAATGTTTGCAACCAGCTAGAACTCTCGAAAATCACACATACTGTGTATTCCACTCTTCACTAAATAACTAGTGAGCTCGTCAAGCCTGCCACACTCTGTGGTTTTACATCAACACTGAAACAGTGATTTATTTCTCATCCTCACTACAAACCAGACATTAATTAGCTATTCAAAAGGGACTAGAACAACAGTAAAGGCCACACACTCTGTGTTGTTCTACTTAGGCAAACTGCTGGTGCTAAAATGTCACATGACAGTGTGATTACACTGATGTTCATCATCTTAGTCTGTCATGTTGACATGTTAATCATTTCTATCACAGCTTTGTAGGTATTTAGTTTTCAAGTATCTAAAAATATTAATTTTGTCCTAATAAAGGCATTAATCATACTTTTTATTACTCCCAAGGCCTTTAAATCTATTACAAAATTTACAGAGATGTTATATTTCTGTAAAATTATATAGATTTAAGTTTATATAAAAATGGGCTCCATGTTGTATTTAACTTATTCACCTTACATGCTAAAGATGCCCACAGGGACCCCAGAAGGAGACACCACACCAGCCTCGTGGAGTCACAACTTTCCAGTCTTTGTCCAAGCCTGGGTAACTAGGAGGGGAACATCAGGAAGTGCATCTGTGACAATATAATAATCGAACATGTGGATTCATCTACTGCTCAACTGTTTTCAAGATATTCAAGGGAAAGAGGGAAAAAAAGCAAACATCTGATGTCCACTGTCAAGCTCGTGTGCCAGTCCATCGAGTAGATGCTGGATGTTTTCAAATAAGTGGAAACTGTGACTTCCTGGTTGCTGTGGAGAGCCACACAGGGAATCACCAAAGTCATTCAAATGTAATCCTGCAGGATCCTGAATATTTGCTGGAATATCAATGTTACAGCTGCTAAGGATCCCATGTGGTCTGTTGTGGTGGTCAAGGCTACGCTGGTAGCCCTGACCTGTGGTCGATTAAGTGCCTTTCAACCTCCACAGCCATATCATCGATGCCCCTCTGGATGTCCAGTGTCAACACATTCTCCTCATCAGACGGAGCCTCTAAAGTATCAAACTGGGAACGCAGCATGTCGGCTTTCATATAGTGACCCCTCCGGGCCACCATCCTCTGGTAAATGAATTCATAGTCACCACGAAGGAAAAGAAAAAAGACATCAGGAGAAGCCGGAGGGAAGATTTCTTGGTCTGTCTCCGAAGGGGAAGTGAGGGCTTTGGAGCCATGGAGGAGGATCCGTCTGTACTGGTGCTTCAGTGCAGAGCACACCAGGAGAGCATCAGAGCCTGAACTCCTCTCTCTGTGACAGGAAGACATGAACATATGTACAAAGTTGCTGAGGGCAGGAATGAATAACTACTGAAGTTCAGACTGAAAAAAATAAGCTTAAAGTAAACTTTAGTCTCAACAACTAAAGAGAAAAAGATTGACGCAAGGACGAGCGGATGGAGAAAAATAAGTGCATCTGAGTGTGGAAGAGTTAAGCAGAAGGACTCTTTGATGTTGCCGCTGACGTTTTTAGAAAAAGACGACACACTTTTTGCTTCTCCCTCACCTCTTTTCCTCACGTAATCTGTCTTTACTCCCCAAACTGTTTTTCCTGGCTCTCTGGTTTTCATCTCAAGTTTCACGACCATCGTTGACATTTTTTCTCTCTTGACAATTTCATGCCTGCACATTCTCACCTCGCTCCTCTGCTCTTCATCTCTACCTCTAAACCCATCATCTTCTCCTTTATGTCATAAAAAATACCTGTTTTCATGAAACGTGTGTGTGTGCAGTTGGCTTACAGCAGATATTAGGGTAAATTGCCACAAAACACTGGCGGCCATCAGTTTTACCCCCTCAGTCACAAGATTTTTAGAAAACTTGACCTCTGACCTTGACTGTGAGGTCGAGGTCAAAATCCTGCCGCCTCGCCCTCCTTTTTGTAACCTTTGATGTGATGACAACACCCCCCACATCAACCTTTAAAAGGCTGATGGTTTAAAAAAAAGCCAATGTTGTGTCCTTTGAAATGATAGAACTTATGTATTTGTAGAGATTGGTTAGCGCTCACCTCTGAATGACTTCGTGTAGTTTGAGAAGCCACGGCAATCTGTCCTGCAGAGACAAAGAAATGCAAACACTAAACACAAAAACTGATTTTTGTTGTGCACAGCTTAGTTTAAGATTGTGTATTTAACTCCTTTAAATAGTTTTCCAGCTGGTGTGTATATATATATATATGGCTAAAAGAAAAGTCACCACATGGATTTAACTACACAAATAACTAAGAGCCTTCCGCTGGGTAATTACTGCGGTGAATAACGTGTTTCGGCTGGCAACAAATGATTTAACACAAACTAACGACATGAGCAGCTCCTCATTTGTTAAAGAAACATTTTGAAAGACATTGTGGAAAAAAAGGGTCAAATTATTGACTTGTATCAAGCAAATTGTAAAATACTCGTGGCCTTAAGAAAACCACATATCAGTGACGCTAATTGGGGAAAAAAGAGCTCTGATATTCCTGGAGGCAAAACAAAAAGGTCATGTGGTCTGAGGAGTCCAGATCTACTCTGTAATGAGTGGAAAGAAAACGGTAAAGGGTAAGAAGAGAAGAGGATGAAGTGCTGCAGTCATTAACCCCACTCCCTACCACACGAGCCTGTTATGAAGTGGGGTTGCTACAGCTGGTCAGGTCTAAGGTTCAGCAACATTATGTGCCCAAAAATGAGGTCAGCTGACTACCTGAGCCTACTTAACGATCAGGTTTTTCCATTAATTAATATTTTTATCCCTATTGGCAGGGGCATATTCCAAGATGACAATACCAGGATTCATCGGGCTCAAATTATGAAAGTGACTATGGAAGCGTCAGACATCTTTTTAACTCTGTGACTGGACACCACAGGGTCCACCTTTAAAGCCCACTGAGAATCTTTGAATTATGCTGGAAAAGACTTGAAATCTTGTCTGTTTCCTTCAAAAAGACATTTGATGACCTTCCCTGTACTCTCATTTACAAGTTAGAATACTTTGGTATCCGTCAATGAAGATGTGATTTAATGACTCCACTCCTCGCACATCATTTATTCTCAAACTGCCAACTGTTGACAATTTTTAAAATATGCCAAAGGGTTGGACGGAGCACGTCCCTGGGTAATTCTCCTCGCTGTTCAAAGCAGACCTCTGAGTGGGAGGTTATCATCTGCCACCAAACACCGCTACCGGTGAACTGCTGCCAAATGCTGGCGGGGGCTCCTCTGCCTGTAAGCCTGTATACTCAGCTTTGGCAGGAAGCCAGACAATTGTTTGGAGGGCTCCCTTTATTTAAAAAGTCAGCATGGATGGGAAGGAGATGAGCCCTGAACAAACAGATAATAAATGACTGAACTGAATTTCAGGACTGACGGTTGTTATGAAAAGTTCAGCATCGCTCCCTGCTGCTTTCACTGTCTGCACGACTGAAGCTCCCTCCGGCTACTTGTGGATTTTGTGCATTTCTGTAAGTCAAACAGAGTTATTTAGTCCTGACAGAAGAGAGACTGAACGCCATAAATGATTGACATGTAAGTGAAGCAGACAGAATGCACACTCACACTCAGACACACACACACACACACACCTGGGCTGACCTGATCTGTAAGCGCTTCACCGCGAGACATCTTCTCGATGTTCTCCCGTGGGTGGAAGTCATCCCCTTCGTACAGGGGCCAACCCAGCTGATGGGTAAACACACATGGACAGAAGAGTATTAGGCACACAAGGAACCAAGAGGGAGGTGTGTGTGTGTGTGTGTGTGTGTGTGTGTGTGTGTGTGTGTGTGTGTGTGTGTGTGTGTGTGTGTGTGTAGGGAGGTTGTTGGTTAGAGTTGAGGCTACTTACCTTTTCAGATAGGAAGATCCCAAAGGTGCTTCTATATTTAAAATAAATAAATAAAGAGTATCAAGGACAAAACTGGTTTAGCAACATTTGAGAAATGTTGCAATAAAACAACTGTCAGCATCCTTTAATATCATAAAAATATGATATTATTATTAACTAATTTTGAAAATATTCACTTTTTTTGGACCTTCTCTTTTAGCTGTGAGAATTTTCTACTTCTTTTTTGTGCTGTTTTCACTGTCTTAAGACATTGTTTTTATGTCTTTATTTTGTGTGTTAACCACATTGAGTTTACATGTAATAAAACGTGTAATATAAATAAAATTGCCATTGTCTGTCAATATAATCTCTATTAAACAGGGTATCGTTATATACTGATGGTTATAATGGTACAGAAACAGCTCATTTACTTTTGTTTCACAAAACTTATGCATGAAATACATGAACATACTGTGTACATACTTTCCACAACCCGAGACTCCCATTATGATGTAGATCATCCTGGTTGTGGTTCTTCATGCACTATATTTAAAGCAGGCTTTTCCTGAAAAGGATTAAACAAGAAAAAGGAAATAAATATATCTGATTGTAAGATTTTAGAGCTTTAAAGTTTAAATCAATATTAATAAATTATTGTAAAAATACATCATTAGAAGTGAAAAGCACCCACTGAACATTTTACTTAAGTCAAATTAATAATGACAATCGTGAGAACTAACTGGCCATTTTATTAGGCACACGTGTTCAACTGCTTGTTTACACAAATATCTAATTAGCCAATAACACAGCAGCAACTAAGTACATCAGATGTGGTCAACCTGCCGAAGTTCAAACGGAGCATCACAAAGGGAGATGAAGGTGATTTGAATGATTTTGAATGTGGCATGCTAGTTGGTATCACGTGGGCTGGTCTGAGTTTTTCAGAAACTGCTGATCTGCTGGGATTTTCTCACACAGGCATCTCAAAGGTTTACAGAGACTGGTCTAAAAAAGAGAAAATATCTCATGAGCATCAGTTCTTTGGGATGGTACACAGTCAGAAATCTGGGTGTAAACAACATGAAATTCTTGATCTATCCTGTCTTATATCAGAGCTTTAGCTAGAGATGGAGTGGAAATGGTGTGGGGGATATTTCACTGGCACACTTTGGGCCCCTTCAAGTAAACACCACAGTCTACCAGAGAACTGTTGGTGACCACGTCCATCCCAATGACTGTTTTCTGGAGTCATTGGTCCATCCCTTTATAACCACAGTTTAACCATCTTCTGATGCATACTACAAAGCTCACAACAAGTCCTGCGTTGTAACAGCAGTACAGGCTGTTGCTGGTGGTGTAATGGTGTGGGGAATGGTTTTTTGGCACACTTTGGACCCCTTGAAACTGAATTGACCATCATTTAAACCCTTTATAACGACAGTGTTGCTATCATGTGATGGGTGCTTCCAGTAGGATGCCAAGCCACAAAGCTCAAATCATCTCACACTGGTTTCCTAAACATGACAATAAGTTCACAGTCGCCAGATCTGAATCCAGTAGAGCATCTTTGGGATCTGCACCTGATGCTATCATGTCAGTGTGGAGCAAAAACATCTGAGGAATGTTTCCAGCACTTTGTTGAATTCATGCCATGAAGAATTAAGGTAGTTTTGAAGGTGAAAGGTGGTCCAACGTGATACCTCATAAAGTGGCCGATGAGTGCATGCATGCATAAATGTTTTCTACAGCTGATGATAGTTTCCTTAAGGACTAATCTGCTGGGTTGTTTTTTTTTTGTTTTTGCTCTGTCCAGTTAACTGGACGTTTAAACTGTAACCGATGCCGCCGTTATAATGAACGGGTGGAGCTTCCGTAGCTATAAAAAGCGATCAGTTCTTAAACGCGGAAGTCCAGCTGAAGTGCAACCTCCCACTAAAATTCAATTCAATCTTTACTGGCAGACTTTAGCACGTTTACAGTTGCTGTTCGTTAAAGAAAAACTAGCCTCGGTTTTACGTCACGAAAAAAAAAATCAAGCCTTCCTGAAAAGCTGAAACAAACAGTAACAAAAATGTGAGACCTGCCTGCTAAACGTGACTCCGGCGAAGGAAAGAGGCGATAACATCCCGTGAACGAACGATTTGACCATGGCCTCTGGCTGTTTTGCTAAGGGACGTGATGACGCACTAAGCACGTCGCTTACGTTAACAATTAAAGGGACCGCGGTGTTGCGTTACAACGAAATTGACTCTGACGTCATTACCGATTAAATTAATTATTTAATCTCAGTTTGAGTGTCGTTACAATGAGGAAATATCAGTAACAATGCATATATATTATATGAGTTTTATTATTTATCGCTAACGCAAACATTTAAATACATATGGAAGGTAAAGATGCCGTTTTTGCAGCATCAGCAACCTCTGAAATAATACTTGTTATAATTGGTAAATAGTTATAATCAAAGGGTATCCACAGGGCAGGGCAATCTACGCTCGCCAGGTCTCCCGTGTCATTTGGACGTAATTGCAATGAGGAGCAATGAGAAGGGTCACAAGACACTTGTGAAGTGGGGTTGAGCCAGAGGGAGAGAGAGAGAGGAGGAGGAGGAGTAGAGGGAAAACCATCCTCCGTCCTGTAGATCCATCAGTGGGCAGGCTGGAGACGGATGAAAGCTCTCCTCCCATCCTTCTCTGCTGCATCCATCCGCTCTCTTATCCATCCATCTAACCATCCACCACCCCATCCACCTATTCATCTCCAAGGGCGTCTCAAGGGGTGACAAGACCCGACTGAACGGCAATGTATACGCGGACGCGTGCGTGTGCGTGAGTCATCCGTGTGCGTGAGCCTCTGCGCGCGTCTGGTCTTGTCTGTGGAACCTCCGACATGAGGGGCTGAAACAGAACCGACAGAAGGATGAAAATGCTCCGGTTTCGCAGCCCCAGCCTCCGCTCCTTGGACCAGGAGATACTCTGTACGATCCGGTTACTGGACGACTCCGAGATCTCCTGCAGCATTCAGGTAGATTAAAGCCCTGCGCGTCTCATCTACCAGTCCATCTCGTAGTCTTTGATAATTGCGAATGTCACGTGGACGCAGTGGATCAATTTTACGCAGGCATGGAGAATTAAAACTAGGGGGCTGCAACAACCTCACGCTTATTATTATTATGATTATTATGATTATGATGATGATGATGATGATGATGATTATTATTATTATGACTCGTCGTTTAATAAGAGCTTTCTCCTTAATTTCCCTTCTGCTGTAAATTACTGGAAAGGTTGCTGCCTTGCTCAGACGATTCAGGCAGTGGAGAGAAAACAGCAAGCCCAGTAGCGATCCATGCATTTGCGTTGTGGTCACCGTGGCTAGATGTGACTGCCATAGAGTGAAGTCTCATGAACTTTGATTTATAGAAGATAAAACGATGGAGCGCCATGGGCGTGGTGGTGATGATGATAGTAGTGATAACATGGACGGAAACTGTTTGAGTTATTGATTGCAATTATGAGAGGCTGTGGCTGGCTGAGTGGGAGAGAGACGGAAACACTGATGTGCTTTACTTGTGTGGTCTCATTTCTGTTTGCCACAGAGATGATAATACATACCCTCTACCAGCAGCAGCAGCAAGTGTTTTTATCAGACAGTGAAGATAGTCACTGTAAAGCACTGAGTTCGTGATGCAGGTATTTATGCTGAGCTATCTCCATTGTGTCGAAACCGAGTCTATAACTATCACTTTCAATTGCTTTTTGCAGTTTGACCTAACATGAGCTGCTGAAAAGATCTGCAACTTACTTTCAGTTTTTTTTAATTTCTGTTAAAATAAATGTACCCACATATATACCAAGAAAAAAATAATTTTCATTACTTTAAAAATGGGCTTGTGAATAATATTAACAGGAAAAGATCAACTCTGTGCTTTAATATCTTTAATGTCACATAAAGGTGTGGCATAAGTCTTTCCAAAAGCATCCTTTGCTCTGCTATGTGTCATGTGTTTGTCAGAAGTCCTCTTATTTGAAAGAAGAAGAAGAAGACATTTTTTGCTACTCTCCTAGTGTAGTTGGTCCCACGTTTGTCCAAAAAGCAAAATATCGTTGGTTTGATTCTGAAAAGAGACACAAATCCCACCGGTGTATGTCAGAAAGGGCATGTGTTGTAAAAATAAAATAAAATAAAATCTGCCATACTGTCCAGTATGTGGTGATACTGTGTCTGATCAGTAATCTTTTTTTAATCTGAAATGAAAATTTCATCTTTAAGTGAAGACATTAGCTCAGGCAGACTGATAACCGAAGCACAAAATTAAAACCACAACAAAACTGAAATCCTGTCAAATCCAAATCAATGTGCTTTGTAAAACCCGATCCTTGGATCCAATCAATGAATCCTTTAACTATCCTCACCTGAGATCTAACGCTGGGACGTTTTAAGACTGCTTGAACAAAGGAAAGTATAGATTCCTCCAGTCTTCACAAACAAACTAAATCCTGTGAGGCTCCACAGCCCCTCCAGCCCTGAGCTGCAGCTGTTGCCAGAGAGATAAACATAAAATCCCGTCAGTCTTCCAGTTTATGATGCATTATTACACATAAAAATATATGAAATGCTGAACAGCAAATAAGTGCCAAGTCACAATATGACTGGATTCTATTGCACTGTGCTATGGTTTTTTTCACTTACATCTTCAGCACTGCACCAAATCCTCCACACAGCTGAAGCACCTTGTTGACAAGCCTGAGTTGTACGGGGCTGAGGGCGAAGTGAATGCTCAGAGCTCAGAGCGCCACCTCTTCTCGCCCTAAACCGCCTTCGGAGCGAGTTGTCCGCTGGTCTGCTGTTTAACCCGAAAGACTGAGAGCACTTGCTGCATGTCAGACTAGCTGTCTTGCTGGTTTCCTGCATGTACTCAATCAATGATTTAAAAAACATCTTCAGGTCCAGTGGAAGAGAAGGAGGAGAGCAGAGAGAGGAGAGACGAGATTGGCTCTGTTTTCTTTGTGTTTAGTGCTGATAATGCATGTACAGTTTCGTGCTTGCGTCTCTGAGAGCAGAAGAATGTGTTAAACTGTGTACATGAGTATTAAAGCTTTTACTTTTTTTTTTCCAGGAGATGTGAAAGCGTGTGTGTGCTTTTATCCATGCGCGAGAGTATTTATGAACGATACGGAAATGGACGTTTATATTTCTAGCTGACTGCATTTTCCAGGGCTTTCTTTAATGGCTTTGTGTTCCGGTGCTGAGCTGCTCCTTCCTACATATTTCATGATGTTTCCTGTGCTCCTCATGCTACACTTCTGCTTCTCAACAACAGCGCGTCTCCTCTTACCGCTGCTAGGAGACCTCCATCTCTTACTTTATCTGCTCTTTTTTTTTCCTCTTTGCATTTCTTATTTTGTCAGCTTTTCCCAATTGTCCTGCATATGTAGGTCAGAATAAAATGACAAACATATAATGAAAATAGGAAAATTGAAAGAACTGTGTGTTTGAATAGTTCCTAAAATGTACTTCTGAGCACAAACCACGACTGAATAGAGTGTAATGTCAGACTGGGATGCCCTTGATTCCTTTAACTTTTCTCTAAGGCATCAGTTCAGTTGACTCTGGATTAAAGACACTGGTGCATTAGCTGCTCCCTTTGGGGACACAGTATTTGGCACTGCATAGATAATCCTGAAGACTTTAAAGTCTCGAAACACCCCACCCAGTATAATTACTTGTAAGGCAATATCCAGCGCAGTGCAGAAAACAAAGGGATGTTCAAGTGACTTGAACAATTCAAGTAACTTTGCAGTCATTTTGCACTTTGCTAGGTACACCTATCCTATACCTTGTTGATGTCAGAGGAGAATGATGAGGCAGCTTTGAGCCGACAGGAAGGCAAAAGTAACTCAAATAACCATTTGTATGCAGAAGACCATTTCTGAACACACAACATCTCAAACCTTGAAGCAGGTGGGCTAAAGCTGCAGAAGACCACACTGGGTGCCGCTCCTGTCAGAATAAGAAAATTGAGGCTCACCAAAATTGGACAATAGAAGATTAGAAAAAGGTTGCATGATTGGATGAGTCTCAGATTATGCAGTGACATTTGGATGGTAGAGTCAGAATTGACCATAAACAGCATCCTGCTTTGTATCAAAGGTTCAGGTTGTTGTCGATGTATTGGTGTGGGGGATATTATCATCAATTAAGCATAATTTAAATGGTACTGCCTACCTGAGTGTTACTGCTACTTCATGATCACAGTGTAGCCACTTTCTCTGATTCTCATCATGGATGTGCAGCTGAAAAACAACTGCTGCTGCTGTTTGTTGCTGCCTGCTGCTAATTAAGACAGGTCTGAAGGCAAAAGGAGGTCCAACACACTAAAAGCAAAGTGCGACTAATAGAGTGACCGGTGAGTGTAGGTAGTAAACATGAATGATATAAAACAGGCTTAATATAAAGGACGCGATAAGGGATGATAAGTTTATTTTCTTTACAGTGAAAGTTATGAATAAATGGTCTTAAATTTAACCTCTTGCACTCTGGAGGTCTCCTTACATGTGGTGCATTTACTGTCTGCTTTAAATGTAACAAATATACGATTTCTGCTCATCACATTTGGTGGAATTGCACTTTAGAATCTCCAAAAAGAGGCTCGATAACTAAGATAAATAAGAGGCGATACTGACTGATTTTTATAAGGCTGTTGTTTGAAGTTTTAATCAAGTAGAAGAAAAAAGTGTCAATATTTGCTAGAAGTTTTCAATCTCATTCTTCCCCGGTGATACAGATAACACTCGCATTGTATTTCTGTTGTTGGAAAGCTTGTAGGAGCCAATTAGGACTCAGTTCTATAAATAAGAACCAATTTTTATCCAGTCAAGAGAATGAAGCGCTACCAAACACTGAGGCAGTTTGAAGCTGGAGTTGCTCATGATTGTGTATGGTGCTGTTTATTACTGAAGTATGTTGGAGGTTAATTGGCAGTATAAAGAGAAAGCAAACTGACTGCTTAAGAAAGCTGGTGTCAGACTATAATTCGTCAGACACGGCTGATCAGTGTGTCATCCAGGTGCACCATCTCGTTTGTGGCTTCCTTAGTCTCTACAGAGCCCGAGGATTTTCACTTTGGCCTCGCAGTTGTGAAGCTGTTGCTGGTTACTGACTGACTGAGGGGGCAGGGATAGCTCAGTAGGTAAAGTGGTTGCCCCATGATCGGAAGGTCGGCGGTTCGAATCCACTTAACGGCTACCCTGAGGTACCCTGAGCAAGGTACGTCCCTACACACTGCTCCCGGGCGCCTGCTTAGTGGGCTGCCCACTGCTTCACTGAGTGAATGGGTCAAATGCAGAGAAAAACAAGTAATTTCCCCATGGGGATCAATAAAGTATCCATTATTATTATTTGGGAGATGGTTTTTCAGGTCGACAATAAAAATAGTCTGAACGATTAATTTATTTGAAAAAATGCGCCAACAGAATAAAGCGTTTGTTTTTCCGTCACATCTTTGTGTCCGTTAATGAAAATATCAGACTTTAACTCCAAGAGCTTGTGCTGAGCTTAAATTGATTAAATCAGATTTATGTAGGGAAAATGTGTTTGTTGCTGCTGTTATGCTGACCTTTACCTGACTATAGATCACCCTGATGCTTTTTTGTCATTGTTATTAGTTGATAAAAATATGGGGTTAGGTATGAATTCATCATTTATATTTTGGCTGCTCTCTTTAGGGGTCACCACAGCACATCATCTGCCTCCTGTTATCCCTTGCATACTCTTCTGTTAGAGCCTTTCCTCTCTAACTTTGTCTCAAAACACTCCATCTGAGCTGTCCTTCTGCTCTGCCTCCTCATTTTTGTTTTTTGTTAGTGCTATTGTCTCCACATCATACATCACAGCAGATCTCACAACCATCTTGCGATCCTTCCCTTTCACTTGTGCTACTATCCTTCTGTCACAAATCACCCCTGTCACTTTCTACTCACTCCACCTTGCCTGCACTCTCTTCTTCACCTCTCTCTCTCCAT